ATTGAACAACATCATCCTTTTTGTAGGGGAGTTCAACTTGAACCCGTTGCCGACAAAGCGTTTTAATATCATGGATTTCTTTGTTATTTGTCGCTGGTTCCAGTTCAACAAAAACTAAGTTAACGAACTTGGTTTTGTCGAAGCGGCTTCTGGGCCTGTTAACAAATCGAACCGTGTGACCAGCCGATGTAAGGCTTTCCTTTATGTTTTCATCCGGGACAGAATGATGGACACCACGGATGACAACTCGATAAGACCTTTCTTCTTTCAACTGCCAAGAATGGAAAGGCACTTTTTTAAGAGTCAGGGATTTTGTTATAGCTCTGTATGTATCAGAATCAGCAGCTAAGATGGAAACAGAGTTGTTGGAATGACATTTTAGGGAGTATTTGGTCGGGTCAACGATTTTGTCTGTGGATCTGATAAGTCCGTTCAGATTCTCACAGTTATCAACCACAATCGGAGGTGGTTTGTGGGTGGATAAATGTTCCTGACTCCCAGGCCGGCTGAGATTGTTGTTGTTGCTTCCGGCATTGTTGGTAGAGCTGCGGGTAAGACTACTGCCGTTGTTAATAGTATTGCTACTGTTGGTGTTAACCTGCCTTAAGCCGGTTGAAGTACTAGCTATTGCTGGGTCTTCGGGGCTGACTGCTTGAGGACCTTCGATGTCTGTGTCCATGTCTGACAGTTCATCGAATTGGTTGGTAGAAGTATTAGGGCTATTGGAATTTTTCAGAATTTTGGTGGCTGAGCTCGGTGATCCGGAGACGAGACGGCGTTTGTTGTTCGCCGATCTAGGGGTCCACCAGTCTTCATCGTCGCCATTTATGACTGCTAGCTCTGGTTCTACATCAATGTTTGATATTGGTGCGGTGTTGACGGAGGAGGAGGCGGCAAGTCGCCGGCTGAATTCGGCTAATGAGCAATTAAGTGCCTCACTCATTTGTCGTTGCTGCCGAGCCACGATCTCGCTGATGTTTAGATCTTCTTCGGTGTCCGAAAGATTAGACATTATGGACTGCTTTACTGACTTGTTGGATAAATAGGTCCTTTATCCGACCTCCAAAAAGAAGAGCGTAGCCAAGTGGATAAGACGCAAGCCCCGCAGTCGGGCGGCACCCAGAACAAATGCGACTGTATTTTGGTTTCACTTGGATTTCGCGATTGGAACAAACAACGGAAAGTAAGGGCACTGACACCACGACCTTAGAGGTCGGATTTGGAAAAGCAATAGCTTTTGCCACAGAGGTGGACTTGTCCATAGATTCTTCACAATGAAGTTCGCAGCGAAGCAAAAATGCGTTTGCACTTCACGAAAACATGAGAAATTTATTTATTTTTTTGTAATTTTCCCTTTTTCTTTTTTAATAGCCGAAAACACGCCCGATGCCTTTGACAGCTAACGCAAAGCTGAAAAACATTAAATCTAAAATCTTTAATTTACAGTTAGAGTAAGATTTAGTAAGTCAGAGGAGTAGCTTTTACTTGCAATTCATGTTTAATGGTCTTAAATTAAGCTGCTTTGTATGAGACTTATACAAGACAAGCTAAGACTTATCCACTTCCAGTAGAAAGGCAAAGAATATATTTTATGCCTGCCTAATTCAGCAAATTTATTTGGGAAATCAATTAAATATTATTTAAAGAACAATAATCTTCTTAAAGTCTACCCACTCCCCCAACTTAATCCAATTCAAATACCGCAGATTTCCCTCAGTGTAAGCCCCAGCCAGTAGCTAACCACTCCTAGTGCCATTGTTCTTGGCACATCTTTGAGATGACTGAATTTTTGACACCCTCTGACGACGACTAATGAATGATCTCATGCGCGTGACATATTTATGGCTTGAAGTCATTACGAAACCATTCTGGGCCACTAAGCGTGACCAAAATTTGTCGGATCTTCTCGGGCTTTGGGGACTCTGAACTCGCAAATAACCCCGCATCCGTATGTCTGATTCCTTGAGCTCATTATCTAGCGGAAATTTAAATCGCCTGCCTCTGATCTGAGATCTGTTAAATGGCACACGCTATTTTAATTATAATTGTACCCGGTATTGCTTGCTTGGTCATCTATTTTTTGTAGTGCTTTAAGGCCATTAGTGGTTGTACCCTCGCCTCAATGATACCATAATTATACAAATAAGAAGCTGCTGCTTGAGGTGAGAAGCTGAAAAATAATGAGTGTGCTGCCGTTCACGGGGAATCTCAGGTTGGGTCGGCAGATGAAACACCAATTTTGCAGAACAATAGCATAAATCATGGAATTCTAATGGTTTTTATGGCGTTGGCGTATTGGCGCTTAGTCCGTTCGACTTAATGACGTATTGACGTCATTTCAGCTCTTTACCCGATTCCCATGCAAATGAAATCGATTAATCTGTCGTTTTAATTATAGCAATTTATTGCACTGTTTGGATCAAAGTGCTCTCGTTAAGAGAGCCCCGGGATGTGCGTAGAAATTGAGACGAGAGTGGGACTTTACATTTAATTGCCACTTTTGATAAGCACCTGGAGGAGGGGGGTATCTTGTTTTTAGCAGCAATTGAAGTCAAACAATAGTGGAACGCGAATCGAAGTGGGCTATAAAAAGTATTGAACTGGTTTTCAGATTGATTATGTCATTCCATCAGTCCCAACTGGTTTGCGCCTTCCATGCACCTGAGTTGTAATGCAAATTCAGGCATGAGAACCTTCTCGTGATCTCTGAGTACATAAAACTATGACTGGCAGGCGGAATTTCCTCGCTTCCGCATTATATGGACATTATGCTTTCAGAGAGTGAGTAGACGTTGGGATTAAAACCACAACAATCGTGGGAAATATTCGAGTTTGATCACCGCAAATCAACTCGACACGTGCCTGTGGTTTCGAACTTAGGGGGACTTATTTTAGTCAGACTGTCTGGCAGCCGGTAATTAAGTTGATGCAATTAAATGCTTTCAAGAGCAACACTTGCCGGGCGATAATTCAATTTGCTAGTAGCCCTGGCCCTGTCCCTCCAGAAGCTGCATCTTGGTGATGTTTCTGACACTTAAAATTCATGACCAGCCTGTCACCATGACTAACTCCGCTGGAAATCCAAAAGTATTGGCATTTCCAGTGTCTACGACCGATAAGAACTCGACTACGGCTACGTCACGGGCCTGAGAAACACTAAATGGTAAAAAAAACCACAGAGCTAAGTAAATTGCAAAGGCTGAAAAATCCAAGCAGCCTTGCGTGTGTGTAAACAACAGAAAATGGCAAATTAAATGCGAAAGATGCGAAGGAAGCCACGATAAAGACCGAGGCAAATAGGGGCTCAAGTACAAACATAGTGTAAACAAAAGCCGAGCGCCGAGCAACGAGCACGCCGGGGATTCCACAGCTAAAAAAAGAACAAGACCGAAAGGTTGAACTTGAAATATTTGTGGACCAAAAGGGCAACCAGCTAGCACACACACGTGCAGAGCTTTAATTATGTGCGGGGCAAGAAGTATCTGTCAGATACTCGTACTCATACTTTCGGCCCGCTCCAATAAAGACAATGCGTGGCGACGACACGTTTCGTTTGTTGTTGGCCAAATGATGTGCTTCGCTTTCAGCCAAAACCCAAAGACAAACAGCAGCAGGCCCACACCCAGGCACCAGGGCAACCAAACACATGTAGTCGCGTACAATATGTCGACGGATTTTGATGCTTTCTGTGTTTTTTGTGTTTTTGCCAAATTAGCAACAACCGGTTTACGCAGGTACTCTGCTTAGCTGGAACCGAAAGAGCGGGGAACGCGAAGCCAAAGGCAAACAAAAGCCGTTTTGCTCATTAGTCGCCTCTCCGCCGCTCGGTAGTCGGCAGGCGGAGCAATCTCTGGCTGATATCAGTGCGAGATGAGTGCGGGAAGGTCGAGAGAGTTTTTGCTCGGAGCCCAGAGACAACCAGGCCCCAAGCCCCACCTGTCCCAGTCCCACTCCCAGTCCCAGCCACCCTCAGGCATACCAGCCATTCCCTCTCTGCCAGTGTTCCGGAAGGCACACTGATGTATTAGGGGGAGCTGACAGTTCGGCAGTCGGGCAGCAAGTGAACCAGAGCAAACGGCTTATTTATAGCGGGTCCTCTAGATATAGGTAAGGATCCACTGGCAAAGGGACTCAGTCTGGGACTGAGACTGCCACTGCCAGTGCAACTGGGACAATTCCAGTTTCGAGAGTCTGGCTCAGGAGGCTGAGCCTGCACTTCCACCATCCGCGAAACGAGTTAAACTGGCTATAAGGTGTGTTTTTTCCCAGACAAGCGGCAGTTCTGATCAATGACAATGGCCCTCAGACGTACATAGATTACTTATCTGTTATAGCTGATTTTCTCTAAAGTGTTCATTGTCGATTAAGATGTAAAATAAGTCAAATTTGTGTAGATAAAATGTATCTTCATTTACTCGAAAAATACAAAAATTTTACTGAAATAACAATGTTGCCAGTTTTCAGGAAATTTAAGTAGAGTAATTTGGATTCCCCTGAATATATAAATAAAAAACACAAATGGCTATAATAAATAAATTCTGTGGAACAAGGAGTCGCAGGTTATCTCCGGGCACCATTATTTCTTAAAGCTTTGTTATCATTAAAGAGATTGACTTGCACTAAATAAATGTTAGTCTTGGAAAAAATTCCTATAAAAATATATACAATTTTATGGAAATGAGCAAAAACAGAGAGTAAATAATAACAAAAAGTAGGGCCGCAGCCAAGAATGAGAAGCATAAAAAACACACACACAAACATGGATTAATTGCGCGTTTTTATATGGAAATTTGTTGCACTGGCAAAAAGCGCAAGCCAAGCAGAAGGCCAGCCGATATATCCATAGACTGTGTGCTGGCCAAGTGAGTAATCCAAGGGGGATCCTGGGAAATCGAATGGATATAGCGACTCCCGACCAATCTCATGCCCCAGCCGATAAGCCCGAGAGAGAGTACATAGTTCCGCCAGAAGAATCCGCATCCGCAGCTGTTGGGACTTACCTATATGGTGGCTATATCTGCAGCACTATCTCTCGCTGTCACTCGCTGTCTCGTTCGCCCTCGCCGATATTTTCACTTTGCACAGTTTGGTATATAGCTTTTATGGTCCTCTCTTGGCTTTTGTTTCAGCAATTAAACCCAATAAAATTGCAGTTCAATTGGCCTTATGCTTACACCCGACTCTTTTTGGCGCGCCTCGCTCGTGTGCGTGAGAGTGTTTATGTATTCGTATGTACTTTGGTATATAATTTGCTTAGCTCTTTGTTTGTGCTTGTCATTTATCGCGCTCACGTTTACTCGTTTTTATTTTAATTTTCTTTAATTTTTTTTTTCTTTGTTTTTTATGTTTTTTTTTCGCGGATCTCGGCGTCGACAATGCTTGCCGTCAGATTCTTGAGTTTACACTGAGCAGATCTCTCTTGGGTACTACTATATAAACTTGGAGCTGGGCAAAAGCTAAGAGAGACCCGACCAGCCACTGCCGCTCTTCGCGTCTCTCTTAGCGCCTCATAAATAGGTACTATATTCAGTGTCGGATCCCACATACCCCTTAGTAGCTGCGGGTCGACCAAAGTCTGTGCGGTACGTCACGATCGTCGTCATCGGGCAAAGTCTTGGCCAGAATGATGCTACCCTGCCATTGCAGTTTCCCAAGCACCCACAACTAGTGGTCTTTGTCCCGGAATGAGTCACATCCCCTGACAGGGGAATGTCTCTAGCAGAATCCACAGATGGCCGGGCTGCTAATTGGGAATGGTTGCGCTTCGGATGCATCGCGGCCTAATTCGCGACCGCCTAGTCAACGGCAGGCGCGGGGACACGGCACAAACACAAACTCAAATCAGGGCCTGAAATATGTCACGTTCTGGATGAATTTACGGACTCGGAAATGGACTGACAATGACAAATGCTAATTGCACTTTTCGCCATCTCAACGAATTGCCGCCCATTAAACTGTGCGCTGGAGTTTTCCCAATTACCAATGGGTCAGAATTATTAGCGTAGTCAAAAAGAGGGTGTGTCGCCTGCTAATCGACCAATAAAAATAGAATTGCAAATGAACAAGCGCTATTGTTTCGTTTAAATGAAAATTTTAAATAGCCTTGTCAATAGGACTTGAATAAGTGCCTGGCTTGACGCTTAGGAGCATATTATTTTCAAAGGAATTTTTATAGCAAGATGAAGGCCTGGTCAATTAAATTCAAAAGTCTGACAGTGATTGCCCGAAATGTATACAAACATAAGGGAATAAAAAGGGGTGGTTATAATGGAACCATCTTTACAAAAATAATAAATATAATACTTCACAAAATATAAACATTGACGAACAGGCATTTAATTTATTTGTTTGGTAAACAATTTTTGTATAAACAAAAAGGGCACTCAAAAAAATAATATGCCAGCTTTCACCAATTTTATATGAAAGGGGAAATTAAAACATACACTTGTATATAATAATTATAGCCTGGTTAACATTTCAAATAAAAAGCAATGTAATATTTAGTTAACTTACCAGAAAGCCGAAGCTTGTATACCCCTGTCCAAAAGTTTCTCTGTGTTTCTTTCTTTTAGGAAAAATAGCAATCAATTAAAGTTTAAAATTTTAAAAAGTAACATTTTTTGTGACACTTCGACAGTTTTAAATTTGTAACCAATTTAATAACCTTCAGTTTGTTTCAGTAAATTTTTTCCGATTTATTTCATATTTTTAATTAAACAGTTTCATTTTGAAATATGCATATCGCTTTTGACAATAATTTGCTGTTGGGCCTAAAGATACAACCAAAGGAAACCCTAATTTTAGAGACGGTAAATAAATTTTTCTAAATACCACAACTAAGACAAACAATCTTCATTTTAATTCGGAAAGCTTTTATATACTATAGTATATAAACACTATAGTGTTTATTTGAATGAATGTGTTGAATTTGAATTAAAAAAATATTTTTTTTAATTTTAAATGATGTAATAACATTTCCAAACGTTTAAAAAAATATGGATAGATCGACTCAAATTGGCTAGATCGACTCGGCTGTTGATGCTAAAGAAATATATACGATTTATAAAGTTTAAAATAACTTCTTCACTGCGTTGCAATCTTCTGACAAAATTTATAACTCCCTCAATGGGAATAAATGTTAAATAGTTTAACAATATTAACTTAAAATGAAAAACAATAATTACAAAAATAAAGAAACCGCACTCTCAATATCTTCAAACACGAACGCCGCAACGAAAGTGAACAATAGATACGTTTGCCTTGATGCCTGCCGTGGCGTAGGGGGTAGCGTGGCCGCCCGTCGCCCTTTCGTCTCGGGTTCAAACCCCAGCTGGCGTAGAACTTGTGAAAAGTAAAATGAAAAGAGAATAGAATATTTGTGTATTTTTAAACGTGTACTTGTTGTTTCGATGCGATTTCATCATGGCATAATAGTTTGGCTTTCCCGTAGCCGAACAATTTCCGCATGAATCGCAGATTAATTAAGGGTTAATGCGCGTATCTACTGACATTTCCAATAATGAATGACAGTGCTTCGTGCAATTTCCGTACAATGAAAATCTATTTAATCTTTTTTTTTTCATTTCCCCCGCTTAGCAACCACAAACTTTGTGGGCAAGTTTACGCAGAGTGTGCGTCGGATCGTCCAGGATGTGAAGGACGAGGGCGCGCCCAGCGGCATGACGCGGGATGAGGTGATCGAGACCAACGAGCGGCTGCGCTCCCTGCGCCTGCGACTCGAGGAGTCCTACGAGACGGCCAAGAAGGCGTTGATCAACCTAATGAACAAGTACGGGGACTCGAAAAGCCAGCGCAACATCTTTCAGCGCTATCCCACGCTCAAGCTGATGATAAAGGTAAGTGAATAGCAATAAAAAGTGCTAAATCTAAATTAAAACTGTGGTTCTCGATTTCGTACACAGGAAGTCATCCGGCTGGAGACCCAGTACTGGACCCTGGTGGACATCCCGCGCCAGGAGAAGCAGGAAACTGTGCCCTCCTACGTGATGCGCGCCTGCTCGATCATGGAGAAGACCCAGAAGTCCGGCGAGGGCGTCAAGACCTCCGCCCGACTGGCCGAGGAGGCGGCCGAGCGTCGGGAGCGCATGGAGCGATTGGAACGTGAGTAAATCGTCTGAAAAAAATAAAAGGGAGATCGAATAAAAACCCCTCTCCCCCACACTCAGATATGACAACTGCCCAAATCGAGCACGAGAACACGCAGCTGATAAACGACTTGTACCGCTTGCTGAAAAAGTATCTGGGCCTGCGGCATCTCATCCGGGTGCTAAAGGTATGTGAATGGGGCGGCCCGGGGAAACTTTGCATTGTACCTTTGAACCTATTGTCTGACCCCGCAGGAAGAGTACGGCAGCTCAAAGATGTATCCGATATTTCCACGCTACACAATGCTCAAGGACATGATAAAGGGCATCATGCACGACCCGGACTACATGGAGGTGTGTCACGAGACGCTGGCCAACGCCAACTGAGCCGAGGGCACCGGAAATGGCAGGCGTCGCATGAGTGTCATTTGAGAGGGCCCAAAAACTAACAGCAACACCAATACGAGCGGCAGCCTACGCGGGTGCAGGACCTAGGACCTGTGCCAGTAAAAGTGCCTGTCCGCTCAATTCGCATGCGAGTTTCTGTCATTCCGGAGTGATTTAGAATTTTCCGTAAAAAGTTCTCGGAGCCATTGCGGAGCGCGTGGCTTCGGCAGCCTCTCTCTCTTTCCGGCCCCTCTAGCCAACACTCTTGAACACTCAAAGGCAAGCCAAGACAAACTAATCAAGGAACTAACCCACTAACTAACTACGCCCAGACCCCACCACCCACCACCAAACCATCAACTGAACAAGGAACTATTTACACTACATTATCAGATACAAACACTCGAATACTCTTCGGCGCTAAGTGCCCGCAAACAAACTAAAAGGCATTTATTTTAATGAACTTTTGAGATGAATACAAAATAAAACCTACAAAATACAAAATACAAACTACAAACTACAAACTACAAAATACAAATTACAAACTGCAAGCAAGACACACAATATTTATTGATAACGATGAACAGATATCAAATGGAAGTAAATCAAACCTAACTTTGTGTAATTTGTATGAACTACAACCAAACTGAGCCTAATATTATACACATTTATATATACATATATGTATACATAGAGGACAAGATATATAACCGAAACAAAACCACAACAGGAGATAAGCGGAGCGAGGAAATAAGAATAAATCTTTGGTTTGGCTTGACGTTGCCTCTGCTTTATATTTTAGAAGTAGCACGTACAAGAACTGGTCGATTAGCCGCTAGCAGGACGTTATTAAACTAATTACCGATGTGTATCAAACTGTATTTGGTAAACCCCACGCCTAGATGTATTACTTAACTAGTTAGACAATATGAGGGAATTATTCCCAATCGATGTAAACAAATGCGAGGACTCTGAACACCTTTTAGGACAACACCAATTCGCGGAGACGGAGACCATATCCTAGACTAGCCACCTGTTTTTATTGTTAATTTGCCCCTTCGCCGGTAAGGCGATTGCTTTATGTGTGTATCGAAACGTTCAGCTTTAAGTCCTCTGCAAGCCACAAGCAAATGCAAATGTAATGTCTACTTCATAAGTTCAGACGCGATGTGTGTGTGATTGTTGTGCGTAACCATGTATTCGTTGTTGTACATACCGTGTAGCTTTGTAATCCCCAACCGAACACTCAGTCACACAAGAGACCAAAGGAAAACCTAGACGAGCTTACAACTTTTTACGAGAGCTAGAAAATCCACAATTTCCATTTACCTTATTTCTATATTCCTCGATGGGAAATCTGTTTTGTGTACAAGCCCTCCTCAAAGGAAGCGATTTTAAAGAATTTGCGCACTAAATCGTCAGGACACGACACTAGCAGACCGGAAGGCCCTCCTACCCCCCTCCAACTCTACTGACACACCCACCGATACACCGAAGATAACACTGGCTGGGCTTACATATCCGAATGCTGGTAAATCAGAAACAGACTCGAAAAGCCGCAGCTATCAATGCGAGTGCAATTGAGTGCATAAATTAGTCGAGCGATTGTTTGCCCGTCTATTATATGCTTCGATTGCTGGTTAATTTAGCCCCCTCTTCTGCCTATAATATTTCCAAACTATTTAAAATAGATATTTATATAATAGCCTGCCTCCTCCAGCGTTCTGCCTCACACAGACAGACAGATATACGTTAACCCTAGCCTTTCCAAAACCCCCAAAAATAAAAAAACACAAAAACTGCATCAGCAGGAGAAACATTTGTATTGAATAAATCAAAATAGATAATTGAACGTTGGAAAATTAGCAAATTAATTATGCAAAAATCCAAACTATAAAGTGAATTATCAAGTTTTCATTTACGGTTAAGCCTGGGCAATGTGTTCTGTTGTTTACGTAGTTAAATGTTGATCATTAAATTTGAATCTAAATGTGTTTGCGGAGTTCGCGTATGAGAAAGGATAGCATCCACAGCATAATATATGGAATCTCCGCAATTATAGCTAAATTTAAAAACTAAACCGTAATGATCAGGTATTAAAGTTATGGAGTTAATCAAAATAAACTAACAGAGTTAAATGGATGAGTGAGTGCGTGAATGTGGCCCATGCAAGCGCAATGCAATATAGGATATAGACGGAACCAGTAGGGGCGATATTGCTGCATCCTACAGAGGCATAAATAAATACTATAGTTATATATGGTAATGGTATTCGTATTATTATACAACTATACACGATAGACAACATATACACGTATACTCTACTTATGCATACAGACCCACAAGGGGATATTGCGTATTCCTACCACCTAAAACTTCGTACAACTTTACCTTTTCAACATCTCAGTGTCTAACAAAAGCATTAATGTATTTCCGCAAGGGAAGTAACCATTATATTGGATGTATCACTACAAATATGTGTCAAGACACTCGATAATATGACGAAATCGATAAATATATTGATATTCAAAGGATATTAAATGTTGTTTTATTACGTTAACCGTTTTTTTTCGGTGTTTTAAAATGTTTTTGGGTCTCTTAATAAAGGTTGAAAAGCGTGTAAAATGTGCAAATCTAAAAGCCTGTTCACGCCAGAAAGGCGCTTAATTCTGGGGGCCCGTATGCGCTCTCTTTCTCTCACTCTCCCTCCGGACTTCCAGTCCATAGAGCTTCCAGTCCGCTCTCTTTAGTTTTGATCTTTGTAATTAGTACCAATTTACTTCTTATTAAATAAACATCCCGACTAAAACAACCAATATATTAGAGCAAAAGAATTGCTCTGATTGCAGCAGAAAACCAAGAGAGTAAGCTAAATTAATTTAATTAAATTTTACAATATTTCAAATATTTTACCTTGGAAACTTGGAAAATAAGACTATCCGAACTTAAAGAAAATATGAAAACAACATTTTATTTGTAGTTTTTAAAATCTACGTTTTATTCTCCCAGTGTAAAGTAAGCAGTTCGCAAGCAGTTCGCCAGCAGCTCCGATTTGCAGAACTAAGTACTACCGGCAATCACAGCTAGATGGCGACAATGTAGGTAAACATCAAGTCTGGCACTTTTGGTCGCTCGGACCGAAAAGTCTGGCAATATTTTTTGACAAAATGGCGGTCATTCAAAAAAAATTTCAAATTCGGTCTTTTTTTTGTAGTTTAGTGTTTAAAAAATATTGTAAACATTTTTTTTAAATTATGGTCTTTATGCACCCGAGAATGGTGACAATTCTGCGTCGATTCCACTTTGTTTCATGAAAATCAGTTCAGTTGAACTGGAGATATCATGGCCGCCAGTTCGAAAAACGTGGTTTCGAGATAAAAGCGTTAAAGTTTGAAGTCATTTTTAAAATAGCTCCTTTGGACGAAGACCTTGCTTCACAAAAAAGGCTGTATCTTCTAAAGTATTTCGAATTTCTAAAAATCCTTTTAGGGGCATATTCACAAGTACACAAGTTATAAATGAATGAAAAGTTGCTCAATGAGAAGACCCCCCATAAGCGGCTTCTAATTCAAATATTTAAAAAAAATTTACATTTTTTTTGTTTAATAAAATTAAAAATATAAACTAAAAACGTATTGTGAAGCTGTTATTCATGAAACGTATTTTGTGTATTTTTTAATTTCGTATTAATATCAGAATCTTCATCATATCATCATCATAATCTTCGACAACATAATGCGCGCATGCCTAATAATAGATTTTTTATTATATTTATGAATTTATGCGTTCATTCACAAATACACAAATGACCTGGGAATTCACAGAATCGGGCAATTATCAACTTATTAATTGTTACTCAGAAATAGCAAGCTTTAGCGATACGGGATTGAGATTATATTGAGGTTTTATAGCTCTCAAGACTCGGATTCCAAGAATCAAGGATTATCTCCTAATTGATTACATTTGTTTTGATTGTTTCTCTGGCTTGCCAAGCTGCCTTTAAAAGCGATGCGTTGCAGGCCTCCATATTCACTTTGCTGAGAGCTTCTTGAGGAAATTAACTGAAAATGATTGTCGCAATCCGCCTAAGGTAATGACAAATGGGTAAAGTAAAAAAATTTCTTAATACATTAACCATTTATCCATTTCAGCTGTGTCCTGGCTGTGCTCCTCTGCCTGGCTAGCTGTGAAGGTGTTCGAAATAGGGAACGGGATCGGGATCGCCGGAGACTGGAGCAACTCCAGAGCCTTAGTACGAGGACGACCAACTCTAACACCCAGATGCGGGTCACTTACGAACAGAGCTTGCAAAAAACTGTCGACCGTTTCTAGTTGTCTGCATATATCTGTCTCTCTCTCACTCTTTACGAAAAGACTCAGAGAGCACCCGTTCATGAGTTCTTGGAATGAGCTCGCGCGCGTTCAGAGCGAACTCGTTTTTTTCTATTCTGCTTTGTTTCGGTTGTCCCATGAACCGTGGTCAGTGAACAAAAGTCTTTTGCGTATGTATTGGAATACATTCACACGCATAGGCAAGCAAATCCTTAAACGTTTAGTTGCGATTTAAAAACAACATTGTCTAAAACTTTTCTTTTATTTTTAATAGCATTTTGTTATATGGACACTTGTTCACAAGAATAAATAAATACAAAAAAAAAAACAAACAAAGGTGAAGACCGTTCGCGCTGAGCTGTTCGGTCCCTCGGTCTTTGGCTGGCTCTCTGTGTGCGAACGTTTCTCGTCCCGCTCTTTACGCACGGCTCATTGAAAGGCCGAAGTAAAAAGAGTTCAACGAAAAGCGTTCAACAAAAAACCGAAATCAAGACAGCAAAACTCCCTTGCTCTGAGCGAGAGGGAGAGAGTATGATCTTTTTCGGTTTTACTCGCAACGAGAGCACAGGAAAAACCCCGTCGACAGTTATTTGCAAGCTCTGCTTACGAAGTCCTTAATATTTACAAAAGATATAGGGGCCGAAATGCAGCGCGTGCCAAACAGGAACAGTTGCTGAACAACAAAGTTCGGGACTTCGAGTCGAAGATTGTGCTCGTAGACGGTGTGCCAAGGCAGGGGGGTGCTTTTTGGGAGTCCATAAAGAACGCCGCAGGCGGACAAATCCCCGACGAAGTGTGGCAAACTGCCCAAGATCTTTTTAAGACTTCATCCAAGACATTGGTGGATGCAATTGTCAACTATCTGATGAACTTGATTGTACAAAGTATGAGCGTGGGGAAGTAGAGAAGGAGAAGCATTAAAAATTTAAGAAAACAAAATTATAAATATCTAATTTTAAATTAAGGGACAGACAGAGACAAAGACAAGAATAATTGTCAGAAAACATGCTATATCTTGATATAAAAAAAAAAAATAATTATTGAAAGATCAAATAAAAAGCTT